CACCGAGGAAAGCAAACAGCAGGAACCAACTGCAGCCAGGCCAGGAGACAGCTCAGCTCAGCAAACAGACGCACTCGGGCTGGGCAGGGAGGGCAGCCACACACGGCAGATAATCTCCGTGACGCAGGACGGAGCCTGCTGGGAGCGGGGGAAGCCTCCAACATCTGCACATGCCGCGGCTGCGATGGCCCCGGCACGGTGGGCACGGCCCTGCCCCAGCACCCCTTCGCCTCCCGGGCTCAGCATCATCAGCCCCGGCTGCTCCCTGCGAACCAGTTAATCCTGCTGGCCTTTAAAAACAAGAGTTGAGTCCCGAGGGTGCAGGGACAGACCCTCTGCCATGCGTGTGTCCTGCCACGCTCCTGTTACTTCCATTTCCCTTGGACGCCCGCAGAAGCAAAGGAACACGCAGGCTCAATAAACAGCCTGCTCTGCTCCCAAATGTCTTTTCCATACTGGATGGCCGACTTTCTGAGCCCTATAAATATCATATTAGGACCATGTCCCCTGAAAGCCCAAAGTCAGGCTCCCATCCAAAAAGTGGTGGAGCTGCTCTCTAGTCTAAATCTGTAATGCAGAAACGCAACTTATTCCATGAGATCCCAAGTGGGAAAACTGGCTCAGGAACATAACTAGTAATTTATGTCAATTAGATTATCTTGAATGGAATATTTAATATTTTTAATGGAACATTGTTTAATTGCTGCTCATGGGTACTTTGTAGCTGTTGGAAACTCTGATCTAAATGATTATTTTAATGAAAGATTGCCAAAGGACTCACATATGAAACTCCTACGTAGAATAACAGTGGGACTGTTTTCCCTGGGCTTCTGTGCTGGCCAGCCCTCATTTTCCAGTTAGGGCACTCAGGGTAATGCCAATTAGCACAGTTACAGAGTTGTCTGAGGCCAATTGCTACGGTTGCTCACCAAAAGTCTGGCTGCAGAACCTCCTCAGAAATTGTCAGCTTTGGGTTTGTGAGTTGGTGGGCTCATATGGCCAGTGCAGGAACCATCAGAAAAGGACTTCATGTTTGTGTCAGGGCCCTGAGGCCACTAACGAGCCCTGAACAGCCCCACCTGAACCCCCACCTGCTGCCCATTGCCTGGGGCTCCATTTAAACTCAGCCTCTCTCTTTTCTCTGAATTTGTTGTAGGTATGACCTTATATCTAGCTCTTGCCCAGGATGGATCAAGGACCTACAGTGCAGGTATGTCTGTCACCATTCCAATTTCTGGCTTGTCTCTGGGATGGACCTTAGATTGATGTAGAATCCTTGCTGCCAGTTCCATCTCCTGCTGCTCCCTGGTACATGTGAGCTGGTAGGCACACTAGGAATTCCTGTGCTGGTGAGATAAAGGAGGAGCTATTGGTAATGTTTTGCCACCTGAAGAAAGTTGAATTTGGGATACTGTCCCAGATTGTGATCAGGTTTTCCCTCTTGAATCACAGTAAGTCAAATCTGGAAAAAAAAAAAAAAATTCCATGAGGATCCTAAAACTGGTTCTAAAGGTCGCTTTTCTGCTCCATGCAAGTTGCCAAATAATGAAGTGTCATCCAAGAAACCCTTCCACACACATGCCTGGGTGCCTGTAGGGCCCTTTAAGATGTCATTAGTGTCCCTTTCTCCAAATTGAGATTAGAATTTCAAGTGGAAAAGCAGATTGATTTTATTTATAGCCCCAGCATATCTTTCAGCCACAATACACAAATACATGGAGCAAGAGCCCTGTGTTGCCCTCTGTTTACTGCATGGCATTGCTTTCCCATTCGGCTGGAGTGGTGAATCATTGTCACTGTTGAGCTCACCCTGTTCTCAGAGGCCCTCTCCAGTCTTTGACCTGATGAGGGTCAGCTGCTTTGGTGTTGTGTTTTAGGAGTTTAATTTACATGTTGCCTCTTGACCGTATGGAGGACTCTCCTTCAGCTTGCCCTATGCTGCAGTGTCATCACAAGCCCTTAAAAGCCCAAGCTGTTGCCGGATGTGGACAGTTGAAACCCCTGACCTAGTTTCTCAAAATCATGTGGTTGGCTTAGAAAATTAGATTTTTTGGTGGTTTTTGTGGTTTTTTTTGTTTTGTTTTGGTTTTTAAGTGATTGTGTAGTCTTTGCATTAAATTCTGGTGTAGGAAGTTACTAGAGATCCTCCAGTTGCAGGTTTCAATTTTTCTTCATTATCATAAGGGTGAGAGGTGTTCTTTTTTTGCGCTACAGCAGCAGGGGAATTGCTTGCCCCTAGCAGCTAGGAAAAGCACCAAATATTGTGAGATTGTGCTTGAAAAACAGTGTTGTATGGATGGTTATAATTTGCCTTTATTCTAGATTTGCTGGTGTTTCTCAGCAGTTCTGGGTACTCAGACTTTCTGTGCCAGTACCAGGTGTGTTGGGAGGCTGGCACTGGCTTGCCTGGGATCAGACAGGGCTTGCTGTGCAGCTGAGGGCTGCACCAGGGTGCTGGGCTGCCTTCCTACAGGTGTCTGCTTCTCACTCCTCAGCTCTGTGCAAGATTTCTTTTTCCTATCAGTGCTAAGCTTGTTTACAGACTTGTTCAGCTTCTGTGCTCCTTTGCAGCTACCCACTGAGATCCCTTCTTATTTTCCTGCCTGGGAGGCTCCAGCCCATATCCCAAATAGGGCTGGAGCGGTCTTATAACCTGATGGAAGCTAAAAAAGGGATGGTGCTCTGGCCAGCTGTTTAGCAGCACCCACACCTTGGCCTGCAGGACCCCATCTCTGTCACCCTCCTTCTGCTGTTCCCAGACCGGTCTTTTCCCTGGCACTGTGGTGTGTTTGGCTGTGAGCACCCAGTGGGACTGGAGGGTATGTGAATGTTTGGATGGGCGGTGGGGGAATGAGCAGTTTACTGTTTGTTGTCATTGGATACTGACACCAGAGTACCAATTTTAACTGCAGCTATAAGGCTGCCCAGAGCACAGAACCAGCATCTCTTAAAGCAATCGTGGGTTTTTTATTTCCCCAGGAAATGTTCAGAGCAATCTCTTGGGTTGCAGCACTCCCAAAGTGACTGTAGCTTACTCCTGGGAGCTGGGGAAAACAGGGCTGTGATTTAAAAAAAATGGAAAAGCTGCAACTAGAAGCAGTGTTGTATGAACAGGTCTATTGTATTGTACTATTTTTTTCTTTTTGCCATTGATACACCAAATTATTTTGCTGCACAGCTTAGCCTTGGAGCCAGGGCTCTCCAAGGCTGCAGACAGACTGAGCCAAGGACTCAGCATGGCTCAGTTGGTTTTCTACCCCAGTGGCATGGTTTGTGGAAGCTACATGGTTGTGGAAGCTGCCTGCATGGCCTTCTTAAGACTCAACGTTCATGATTCAGATTTTAAAAATACACAAGGACAGCCCTCAGGCAGGGATGCCAAGCCTAACGGCCCCACCTAATTTCCCCTTGAAATACATACTGTGCTATAAGTAGTTCAGACACCTGCTGAAACTAGAATTGTTTCTTTCCTTAAAACCAGACACCAGCAGTGGTTAATTACCACATCCCAAATTGGCACAGATTAGTTCAGCTTCACTGAAGCCAATGAAGCTTCATGGAATTATTCCTGCCCTAATAGGTGTACTTCTGGCTATTTTCCTCTTTGGATTATTTTGTTATACTAGGAAAGCAATTATCAGCCCAAATCTGTTTTTCATGCTTAGTAAAAAAATCCTCTGTTGCAATAAATTATTAGGCTGAGGGTTTTTTTGTGCTTCCTTTATGTGGACTGATTAGCAAATGTAGCTGTATGAGAGCCAGCTCTAAAAGCCCCAGAAATGGGGCTATAGCAAGGTGGGGGCTGTACCAAATTTATTTCCATGCATAGAGTCAGTATAGCAGATAGACATATGTGTGTCTGATCACATACACATGCTATACATAGAATCATCGTATAGAGTGATAGAGTTGGAAGAGACCTCAAAGATCATCTCAGTTCCAACCCCCTGCCATGGGGAGGGACACTCTTCACTAGACCAGGTTGCTCAGAGCTCCATCCAGCCTGGCCTTGAACACCTCCAGGGATGGGGTACCCACAACCTCTCTGGACAACCTGTTCCAGTGTCTCATCACCCTCACAGCAAAAAGCTTCCTCCTAATGTCTAGTTTAAACTTAGTCTCTCTTAATTTTAATTCAGTCCCCCTTGTCCTGTCACTACATGCTCTTGTCAAAAGTTCCTCTGTGTCTTTCTTGTAGGCTCTATTGCTGCAATGTGTATATACAGACATGAAGTAGTGGCTTTTGAACAGTCCTTCCATGTGTAAGTGAAGTGGAAAATCCTGCTGTTATGATTTCTTGATGCTTGGAGAAGTGGACCATTATAGAAGTGACTGCTGTGGATATATGTGAAATAAGCAATTTAGAGCTGTGACCTGAGGATCAGAGTCGAGGAGCTGGGACCTAAACAGACCTAGTGTTCAGATGCCAAAAAACTAACAAACCAGGGCCTGTTTTTGGAAGTTTGGGTTGAAAAGTTGACATGAAATAATGATGACCAGTAACTTTCCCTCTAAGAAGCACTAACCTAGCTGGGAGTTAAATGCCTTTATTGTAGTACTGCCTCTACTGAACCTTCACAGGTTTTGCAGCCTGATACTTAAGTCCTTCTAAGCTCTTTCTGAAAAAGAAAGTGCAGTACTACAGGTGTCTGCATTCCAAATGGCATCCTGTGACCTCCAGCAATACTGCTGCTCTCCATTTGATCGTCATCACGTGTAGCCATACCTGTGCCTTGTACTCTCCTAGAGACTGGTTTCACAGAAATGTGTTTAAGACACAGGACATGATATAATACGTGTCCCCAGCTAAGCTTTCAAGCTCTGAAGATGTTTATTCTGTTGGAAAAAACAAAAAAAAAGACTCACTTCATAGATTAAGAACTAACTGCTTTAAAATTAGTCCTACTAAGATCTCCCCACCAGTCCCCCAATCTCAGTACTTTGGAGTCCAGTGCCCCATAGTATATATCTCTGTGTGCTAAACAAATCAAGCAAAAGAAGCTTTGTATCAAAATAGTTTATTAAAAACAATAAAACTTCACTGAAGCTTGCTGTCCTTGAGACAGAATTATGACATTGCAGCATTCAACACAATCATAATCCACATATAAATATAATACTATACAGCTCCTGTTTGCCTTGGCCAAGTTCTGCCCTCGGTCTGGCCCCACGCAGCCCTGCTGATACAACTCAGCCCTGCATACTTCAGTTGCAGAACCTGTTCCTCTGGGAACTGAGCTCTGTCCCTTCCTCACCCCACGCTGCACAGCGCTGTTACCGTCTGGGGGTTGCACAGAAACCCAGCACAGCTCGTGGCAGCTCGAGGCGGTTTTACAGAACCCGTGTGAACACACCGAGCGACTGACAACAGCAACACTGCTTGATGTTTAGGAAAGATAAATAGGCAACCAATTACTCAAGTTCCCAGCGCTGCCCAACTGCAGAGAGCAGCTTGTGATCAGAAGAAGGAAGCTCTGTTCGGACCTGCCGCGTTGCTCCTCAGCCGTGACAGAAGGGCTCTGTAAGGTGCGGTTTTGTCTAATGCATGGAGTCAGTTCTCATGGCAGCACTGGCAGAGAAGGGCACTGCCGGCAGCTGGCTGGCACACTCCTGGCCATCGCCCCTGAACACCCTCCAAGCATCACTCTTGGCCATCAGCTCTGCACCACAGTCAGTATTTGTCCTTGCACGGTGGCAAACAGACTGAGCGCTCAGTGTCTCAGTGTTTTGGGTCAGGATGCTGCCATGAGCTGTGGCTTTGCTTCCTCACTAGCCGAGAGGCTGCTTCTCCCTCTTCTCCATTGCTCATGTCCCCTGGGCTGCTCTGGTGATGGGTGTCTTCTTGCACAGTTCCTGATAGAACTCGGACTCCAAAAACCGGGGGTATGAGTTATTCTCCATTAAGCTGTAAACTCTCTTCTGCGCCGCACTGAAACAGTTATGTGTGGCTTCCTGGATGTTCTGTGCAATCATGTTCTTGGTTTGGAAGTCTATATTTATCTGAAATAGAGAAGTATGGACATTTACTTCTGAGAACTGAATTCAAGTAAGTATAATAACACCATATAATTTCTGAAGAGGTGAAAAAGGCAAGACCTTGTTACTACAGAGTCAAATTAATGAAACTTTTAAGAAAATTCTTCTTTCACATAAAAACCAAAGTAGTTCAGATATTTATCTTTTCTCAGTTAAAATGGAAACGCTCTGAAACACCCCTTGTGCCACTTTCCAGTTTGGTGTAAAGGCAGTTTGGGAGAGAGTTGCATTCAGATACAGATATTGACACTGAGGTATGTACAGTGCAGTTTGACATCTGTATCTTAACGTGAGTTCAAAGAAATAAAGGCTGTAAGGACTCATAGAATAGAGCATTTAAATTTAGTCAGGTTTTCTTTACCTCTTTGGGAGCCTCCTTTTCAATGAAGTCATTGTAGATTTTTTTTGCTTTCGATGTCAGCTTCTGGGGTGACTTGGTTTTCTTGAAGTCCTCACAGGCCAACCAGAACTCGATGTTCTCTTCACAGAACTCAGACTTCAGAAAAGCTCGGAAAGCAGCAAGACCATCTAGGAAAAGGAGGGGGGGGAAAGCCACTGTCAGTTAACTACTTCAGGAAGCTTGAATTTACCCACTGTTCACATTTGTTTCTATGGAAATGTTTTGCTGTAGGTCTGTTATTTTCAGGGATATCATGGCAGTAAAAAATGTCCCCATTTACGTATGCAAGCAAGTTAAAGCTCTAACAGCTTGGCAGGCTTGACTTTGAGCTAGCCATTTTTTGGGTAAACACAAAAAATGAAAGCCATTTCTAGTTCGTATGTTCCTTCTTGCAAAGCCTACGTATACATAAAAACCCCACTTGTCTCTAGATAAGATCGCCTGCGTTAACCTTTACACTGCAGTAAATATGACTGCTGCAGAACCCTGGAATATTCTTTCAATGGAAAAGGTGACTCAAGTTCAAAGAGCAAACAGTAGTACTATTTCTTAGTCTTTTTGCTTTGCTGTTTAATGCTGCTTCTTGTAGAGCTACAGTAAAGCCCTGAGATGACTGAACTGCGTTGCTGAATTCTTCTCATGTTACTCGAAGGCATTTGTCTTAGTTATGCAGTGAGCTCAGGGAACAAATGCTCTTTTCATATTTGGCAAAGCCAAGCTGATATGTATGATTTTAGCTAGCAGGGGTTACAGGAAAAAAAAAAATCCACTACAATGAGGTATTCTTTGGTTTGCTATTAGTTTACAATTTTTTAGAGAACACTTTCATGAGTTTTGGCTTCAAACTGTTCAAAGCATTTCACTTGCAAGACCAGAATCAAAGCTATTTTATATCAGCATGTACAGTGCCAACATGGAAGGAAGCAATCTCTTACAGACATATAAACTTCACCATCCCTTTGCTCCCAAATGTTACTTTTTGAAGACAAACTTACATTTGTTAGCAAGAAGTTCATCAAAGGCTTCTGACCACAGCTGGGCTTCTTCAGGGGAAGGTCTGCAGAAAGAGAGGGAGAATATCAGACTCCACTGCTCAAGGTTTACTGTTTTTGTAGAACACTTATTTAAACAAAGTCTCTTTCTCCTAACTTACCTGAAGTAGTTGCGGTGTTTCCCTGCCTTCTTAGATTTTCTCTTATTAGAATTAGAAGAGTTCTGCAGGAAGTAGCTCAGTCTTGTTTTCCAATCTTTAATGCTGGAAGAAAGAAGAGGGAGAGATGCCTGTTAAAAAGTGACAGCTCTCAGAGCTCGAGACACCCGCCCCTTTAACTGCTAAGAGCGGCGCTAATTTTCCTCAGACGGCTTTGCCGTTTCTGTACCCAGAGTCACCCACAGCACCCCGAGGGCGAGGAAACTATTTCCCCCCAGCCCGCTTTAACACTCAAACAACAGGTTAGCCCGGGAACCTGTTCGAAAGGGGAGCTCCGGGCGAGGGGGAACTCACATCGTTCTCTTCATCCTGCCCTTCTCCGCCTCCTCCGCCTCGCTGCGGCGGCAGCCGCCCCGCTCCATGTGCCCGCCGTGCTGCACCGCCAGGAACAGCGCGCTCTGCATCGCGACCGGCACCGATCGCCGCCGCTCCGCCGCCTCCAGCTCTTATAGCCCGGCGGCACCGGGCGGGGCCGCCCCGGGACGGAGGGAGGGAGGGAGGGATGGGAGGCGGGAGGGAGGCGCTGCGGGCTGGGCTGGGCTGGGCTGGGCTGCGCGGGGGGAGCGAGCGAGAGGGGCAGGGCTGGATGTCTTTTCCCAGTATAGGAAAGTTCACCTCCCGCCAGAATCACGTCCTTTTTTTCCCCTTTATTTTTTGTTTTCCTTTGCTTTTCTCCCCCTTCTTTCTTCCCCCTTTTTTCCCCCTCCCTTCCTTGCCCAGCTTGCCGTGCTAACGTCTTCTTGGAACGCTTTTAGCAAAGGGCTGGCGGTCCCCCCCTTTCCATCAGTCAGAAATGCACCCTGCATTTCTGCAGGTGTTTTTTTTTGTTGTTTTGTTTTGTTTCAAGGTTATTCAAATTTTTGGGTATGGCCAGCGCTACGTTTCTTAAAATAAAAATATATATATATATATAAAGTGACCCTAGGTTTGAGCATATGGTATTTTTTGATGCCACCCCTCTGCTAACCCAGGCTGTCAAACCCTTCAGTCGTCTGTTGGCACATGTTTTAGCTCTGTACAGTGTTGCCACCTACCAGTGAGTTGTGTAAATTACTCTCATCACTCGAAGTCGCACTGACTTACTCCAGCCTTCAGCTTGTTGAAAAGGCCATGTGGTCCTTCTCAGAGGTGTCCAGCTGCAGGGTATCACGTCCAAAGAATTTGGATTTAGGAACCATGTGAGTTTCTTTTTAACCTACCCTGCTTTTCTGCTCTTTTCTGTGCACGTGTCTGCCCTTTCACAGTGCTGTCGAGCACATCTTTCCTGCCATAAAAAGCAGCGTTCAGAGAAACTGTTTGACTCCCAAAACACTGGCTGACTTCAACACAATTATGGAGCATAAATCTCTGATCCTTTTAGGTAACTACTGTAGTCTTATAACATCTCAGTGTGCCAAAGACTCGCAAAGCTGCGCAAAGGTATTTTGCTTTAAATGAGATGTCTGGGAAAATGTCATTTAATTTCTGACAACATTTAAACAACAGTGCTTTTCAGTGCTGCTGATGGTAAGCTCTCGGCAGGATATGTTGGTGTTCTGATAGGAAAATGAAGTTCCATCCTCTAACTTTTACCAAATCCCTTTAAATGATTTTTGCGACAGGTAGCCCTTAGTCCTGTGTAAGGTATGTACATTTTTTAAAGGGAAATTATTGCGACGGTGGTTACCATGGGAAGGGGAAGTGTGGAAACACCAACAGAGGTAAGGCTCTTAGTGCTGTAAAAGCATGTGTTCCAGAAACTTTACGGGAGGAGCTTGCCAAAGAAAAGACCAGGGCAGGCAGCGCCTGTGTGATGGATGGACCCGTGCTGACTCGTTCCCAGGCGCTTCCATCGTCATTTGCTTCGAGTGCCAGGGTCAGCCGAGCCGTGCAGCTGCGAGTGCTTTGGGCAGGAGCTGGCCAGGAGCTGCTGAACAGCCTGTAACACACGTGGGGACGGGAAAGGGAACACTCTCTGCACGTGCGAACCTGGCAGCAGGCGGCTCCAGGCTGGGGGGACGGGCTGTCCCAGGGTAACAGATAGAAACTCAGCCCTGGGCACTACCCAGACTGGAGCCTTTGCAAAGGATCAAGTGCTGTTCAAGGAGAACAGCACGTCCTCGCCTGCCACCTCGCTTGTAGATTTCCCTACTTTTGAACCTGGTTTCAAGCTGTTTTCACCTGATTCTCAAAGCTGAATGCAGGTAAATGTGTCAAATATTGGGAAGTTGAAAACCTCCAAGTCTAGTAAGCTACAGTAAGGTTTGATTAAGCACTGATATTCTGAGAGCTTACCAGAGCACACCAGAGATCCTGCTGATGTTTGAAGCCTGACAAAATGTTTTCTCGTTGGTCCTGGAGGAGACCTGCAAGGGTAGGGCTGGGATACTCCCAGCATCTGCCAAGTTGTAAAGTTGGCAGTAGACTCCATGTGGAAAATTGCAGCATGAATCATGTATTTATCTGCTACTTTTTATTTCAAACTTTTTAATTGCTCCTTTTGGAAACCCATAAATTGGAAGGGCCAGTTAAGAAAGGTAGCTATAATGTGTAACCTTTCAACAGTGGAAAAAGCTGAACATGGAATTGTGACGTTAGATGGCCTTATAAAACATACTTATGCTAACACTTGCTTTAAAGACTATTTAGATTAAAATTGAATTTTATTGCCTGCTCAAGGTATACCTTTTGTTGATATATTTATTATACTTTTAAAGCATGGATTTTGCTGCACCTCCATCTCATGATTCCTTTTGTTGGGATCAGGGCTGTGTGACTCAAAGCAGCATCCAGAGCAGCACTCCAGATCTGTCTGTGGGTGTGCTGACCTCTACCCTTTCAAAACAGGGAAGCTCTTGGTAGCTGAGGACAAAAGCAAACGTAGTGCCAAAGCCTCCCCTTTACATCCTCCTCAAAGCTTCAGTCTATTTCTGTAACACTAAACTCTTTGGCAAGAGGCAAGGCCCATGGAAAGTGATGGGGGGGGAGCCTGTAGCCAAACTTTGCTGTTGAAGATGGTGACAGATTTGCTATTGCCTGCAGTGAAATCTGATGTCAGACCTTTAATGGCACAAGCGCTCACCCTGGAGATCACACTTCTCTTTCCAGAGGCTTTCTTGAGAATGTTCTGTTCTTTTTCTGCTTATATGATTCCTACGGGCATCAGAGATGGCTGGATGTACAGAGGACTGTAACATATGCAATAAACAACCAGGATGGAAGATTAGGTTTTTTTCCATCTCAGTTACGTTGTATGTCGCAATAGCCACGCTGATCTTTTTCAAGTCCCCAGTGAGTAGTTGTTCTCACTGCGTGATACTTAAATCTGTGTCTGCATTTTTTTTTTTTTTGAAATGCCAGCCCTTGTTTCTTTCTCTTACTTGGCTAGGAGGACATAGGCAAAAATATCCAGAGGTTTTATAGCTGAGTATCATAAAGCCAAGAGGGTGGAACGTGCTCTTGCATGGTAGTTCAAACTATGGGTTAGTTATCTGAGGGATGCTGAGAAAATAATATCCAAAAGAAGAAGTGAGATGTTGAGCGATGCCTTTTTGTTTTGTAATGCAAATTACACACAGGTGCACTTTCCTGTTCTTTGATTGGTCCTGAACTTGCAGCTGTACAGTCCTGTTGCTGCATCTGGGAGACGGTTCATGTAGGCATCAGAACAGGAGATCAGCGAATCACACCCCTGTGCTGCTTCTGACAGCACTGGGACCGTCTGTTCTTACCTCTCTTTTGAGCTGTGTCTCCTCTGAAGCGCAGGGGACTGATCTGTGTCAGTACAAAAGGGCACGGAGGTACCGAGCTGTGGGGGGAAGGGATCTGCTTCTCTGCTCTGCACTGCTGAATAACAGCGGCCAAGCATGGGCTGCGTGGTATTCATGTCTAGATGAATGGTATGATTATGAATATTAAAATTGCCACTCTGAGGGGTTTTTTTGTGCAAGTGAAGAAGTTTACTCAAACTCTTACTCTGCTTCTAATCCTGTTCATTGCATTCTGCCTTTCTAGTCCCTGTTAAAATTTCAGTTATGTGTAGCAGGGGGAGTTGGGGTTTTTTGATTTTTTTTTTTGTGGTTTTTTTGTGGTTGTTGTGGAGTTTTGTTTTGCTTTTAGTTATTTATTTCTTTTGTTTCTTTGTTTGGGCCTTTTTAATTGCTTGAAGCTGGCTGAAGTTGCATTCTTTGGCTTTGGCCCTGCAGGCTGTGCCTGTTGGGCTGTTGTACTTCCCCCAGTATTATTTTCCAGTCATAAAGCTGAAAACGTGCAAATCATCAGAAGCCATTCCTGGATCTAAATATAGCACTCTATGGATTAACACTAAGGTTGGAACAATTAAATGTTCAGCCTTCCCTAAAAAAAATAAAAAAAATAAAATGTATCTCATTACAAATGGATCTCGTTTCACTTAACAGCAAAATCCTCTGTCTGAATAACCTATAAACTAGACAGAGTTTTCTGAGAACTCATCATTCTCGGCCCTCAGCCACCTTGTTTTACATAAACACTGACATTAGTTTATAAAAGTTCTAAAAATAGAGCTGAAATTTGTCAAGAAGCGGATCAGCTGGGACTGTATGTCTACTTACAGGCTTGCTCTTATGTGGATGTGTACGCCTCTGCTTCAGTGATGCTGTAAAAAGAGTATGAATCCGGGCACTGAGCAGTTGATCGTGATTCCACCTCTACCTGTGGATGTTTGGAAACGTTAGTTTTGAAGGGGAGATACTGTAACAACGGTGGGCAGGAGTCGGAACAGCGGGTTCCCCGGGGAGGCTGGGATGGCTGTCTTCTTCATGCTTTATCCCTTCTGCAAAGACAAGCTGAAAGGAGACCTGTTAATATAGCCTGCATTCTAAAGGACAGGACATTCTCATATTCCTTACGTCTTTTGTCAATACAGAAAGCAAACAGCTTAGCAAGAAGCAGTGTATTTTTAACAATGAAATTTTCTTAGCAGAGGTGAGCCGAGTTACACCACCCCAGGTAAAGAGATATGATTAATCTTGTTTGAGGTTAGCTAGGTGATGCAGAACACTGGCTCCATGTTCTGTTCCAGTTGCAGCCTGTTTTGTTTCCCCCCCCCCAAAGTCTGTATTTGTTAAAGCAGGTGTGCAGAGGGACATTAAACAATCAAATGTGTTTGTTAAACCTGGACATGGGCACCATCTTTGTCATATCATCTGCATGTAGTGCAGTCAACACACACTCCTTTTGATGTCTACTTAATCCATGTTAATAAAACTCTCTGCAAATGCCTGAGTGGTATTAGTCAGACATTGATTCAGAAAGTCTTCGTGGCTTACAAAATCAATCCCCTTTTGCAACTCCTACAGGTAAAAACTGTCAGGAGCACAACAGTGAGAAAGCTAAAGATTAGAGAGGAGTATAATCATTTTTGCTGCACCTACAAAGTTCAAATTAAAATAAGCATTGAAAATAAGTGAAA